TTAAGTAGGTTCTTGTAACGTATCCCCATGATTTGTTTTTTCTTTTTTCCCCTTTCTTTTTGATCCTCAATTTGAAGAGGATCCTCAATTTGTTTTGTTGTTTTTTTTTCTTGAGACAGAGTCTTACTTTGTCACCCTTGGTATAGTGCTGTGGAGTCATAGCTCACAGCAACTTCTAACTCTTGGACTCAAGTGATTCTCTACCTTGGCCTCTCAAGTAGGAGGGACTATAGGCTTCCGCCACAATGCCCTGCTATTTATAGAGGAGGGTCTCACTCTGGCTTAGGCTGGTCTTGAACCTGTGAGCTCAGGCAGTCCACCTGCCTCAGCCTCCCGATTGTTTCTTTGTTTTTGAGTACTTTACTTTCTGGCAATACAAGGTGCTCCAGGCTTATCTTGTGTATTTCCTGCCTAAGTTCTAGAATTAACCATTTCTCATTTTTTGGAGAATGATATACACTAAGATCTTTGTACTAGGTGTATTCATTACTGCTGGAAGTTTTCTTCTAGACCCTACCACCTGATAGCAAGGAAATACATGTATGTATCCTATTTGGCATACATGCACATTTCTATGAATGCTTCTACATTTAACCCTCTGTATATTAAGCTGAACAAGAGTTTGTACTGATGTTTCCAGTTTTCTTCCATTACCATAATTCCTTTAGCTCCCTTTCCTTGCTTATCTGTAAATCTCTGCTTCAGCAGTGAGAAAGTATCTCACCATCCACCAACCATTTACTTAATTTTTCAATTACTATATACAAGTATAGCAGTGTCAGAATTGTTAACCTATACAAATGGGAAACAACTTTACTAACCAGAACTGTGCTCTTGTATAGTCTGATTTTTCAGGTTCATTTTTTAAAAAATTTTTTTCTTTTTCTTTTCCTTTTTTTTTTTTTTTTTAAATGTAGAGACGGAGGTCTTATTATATTGCCTAGACTAGTCTCAAACTCAAAGGCTCTTCCTCAGCCTCCCAAAGTACTGGGATTACAGACAAGAGCCATCATGCTTGGCTTTCTACTCATTTCCAGAGTTTCTAGATGAGCACCTCCCCCTACCCTTCAGTAAGAATGTTTCATAGATTTGTAATAAAGTTAGATTGTTTTCATATTTTGCATGCTATTCTTGGATCACTTCTAGTTTTCTTTTTAATTTTCATTAATATTCACTCTCTGTGATAGAAAGTTGTGTGGGTTTTGACAAATGGACAGTGTCCTGTATCCAGAATCACAGTATTGTTACAAGTAGTTTCACTGCCCATAAAAATCTCCCTCTCCCATGCTTTACCTTTTCAACCTGATTCTTTCCCTCAAACATCTGACAACTGATCTTTTTACCATCTTTATTCTTTCGGCTTTTTTAGAAGGTCATATAATTGGATGTATCCAGCATTTTTTGCTTTTTCAGCCTTGTTTCTAACACTTAGCAACATACATTTAAGATTCAACCATGTCATTTTGTGCCTTGCTGGTTCATTTCTTTTTAATTGCTGAATAATATTCCATTGTGTGGATGTATACATACTGCAGTTTGTACATTTGCATATTGAAGGACATTTTGGTGGCTTCTAGTTTGGGATGATTATGAATAAAGCTGCCATAAATATTGGTGTATAGGTTCTCATTTGTCTGTAAGTACAAGTCAGTTTGATACCTAGGAGCATGATTGCTAAATCATGTAGTAAGACTATGTTCAGATTTTTAAGAATCTGTTAAACTTTGCCAAAGTGATTGTACTATTTTGTATTTTCACCAGCAATACATCCTTGCTAGAGTTTTTGATTTTAGCCTTTCATTTTTTTTTTTTCCATTTGCAGCAGAGTCTCTGTTGCTCAGGCTAGAACACTGTGGCATCATAGCTCACAAAAGTCTGAAACTCTTGGGCTCAAGTGTACCTCCTGCCCCAGTCTCCTAAGTAGCTGGGACTAGAGGCATTTGCCATAACACTCTGCTATCTTTTTCTATTTTTAGTAGAGATGAGGTCTCACTCTTGCTCAGGCTGGTCTTGAACTCCTGAGCTCAAACACTCCACTCACCTCAGCCTCCTGGAGTCCAGGATAACATGGGTAAACCAAAATCTCACCCAACCTAGCCATGCTAGTTGAGTATCCCGCATCTGAAATGCTTGGGACCAGAAGTGATCCAAGTTTCAGATTTTAGACTTTTTTTTTTTTTTTGGTAATATTTGCATTACACTTAGCTTCAACATCCCTCATCCCAAAATCCAAAATTTTAAATACTCAGCGTTTTCTTTGAATGTTGTGTCAGTACTCAAAGTTTCTGATTTTGGAGCATTTTCAGATATTTGTATTAGGGATACTCAATCTACACCATATTGTTTTATTTATTTATCTTTTTTTTTCTTTAAGACAGAGTCAAGCCGTCGCCCTGGGTAGTATGCCGTGGCGTCACAGCTTTCAGCAACCTCAAACTCTTGGGCTTAAGTGATTCTCTTGCCTCAGCTTCCCCAAGTAGCTGGGACTACAGGCACCCGCCACAATGCCCAGCTAATTTTTGGTTGTAGTTGTCCTTGTTTGGCAGGCCCGGGCTAGATTCAAACCTGCCAGATCCAGTGTAAGTGACTGGCACCCTAGCTGCTGAGCTACAGGCACCGAGCCTATTTATGTATTTTAGAGACTGAATTTCACTTTATCTCCCAGGCTGGAGTGTAGTGGCGCAATCACAGCTTGATGCAGCCTCCCAGCTCAGGAGCTCAAGCGATCCTTATGCCTTGGCCTCCCAAATAGCTGGGTAACATATGCTCTACCACTCTCTTTTTGTGGAAATAGGGTCTTGTTAGGTTGCCCAGACTAATTTGAACTCTTGGCCTCAAGCGGTCCTCTTGCTTTGGCCTCCCAAAGTCTTGAGATTATAGATGTGAGCCACTTTGCATGGCAACTTTGTTGTTTTAATGACGTTGAACGTCTTTTCCTATGCTTTACCATCAGTTTATCTTCTTTGGAAAAGTGTCTTTTCAGATCTTTTGCTCAGCTTCTAATTAGATTTTTTTTTTTTTTTTTATACAGACAGAGTCTCACTTTATTGCCCTCAGTAGAGTGCCATGGTGTCATACTGCTCACAGCAACCTCCAACTCCTGGGCTTAGGCTGTTCTCTTGCCTGAGCCTCCCAAGTAGCTGGGACTACAGGTGCCGGCCACAATTCCTAGCTATTTTTCTGTAGCAGTTCAGCTGGGGCTGGGATTAAACCTGCCACTCTTGGTATATGGGGTTGGTGCCCTACGCACTGAGCCACAGGCACTGCCCTTATTTATTTATTTTTTTTGAGACAGAGTCTTACTATGTCGCCCTCAGTAGACTGCTGTAACGTCACAGCTCACAGCAATCTCAAATATCTCAAACTCTTGGGCTTAAGTGATTCTCCTGCCTCAGCCTCCCAGGTAGCTGGAACTAAAGGCGCCCACCACAATGCTCAGCTATTTTTTGGTTGTAGTTGTCATTGTTGTTTGGCAGGCCCGGGCTGGGTTTGACCCAGCTCTGTTGTATGTGGCCAACGCCCTAGCTGCTAAGCTATAGGCGCTGAGCCTAGACTGTTTTTTGGTTCTTGAGTTTGAGTTCTACTTTAGACTAAGTTCTTTATCAGATTAATGTTTTGTAAATATCTTTTCCCAGTCTATGACTTGCCTTTCAAGTCATTATAGTTCATGGCAACCTCAAAGTAATGGGCTCAAGTGATCATTGTGCTTCAGCTTTCTAAGTAGCTGGGACTACAGGTCTGTGCCATTGTGCTTGCTAATTTTTTTTATTTTTAGTAGAGATAGGTTCTTGGTGTTGTTCAGGTTGATCACACTCTTGAACTCAAGTGATCCTCCCACCTGGACCTCCCAGAGTGCTAGGAGTTTGTTTATTTATTTTAATTAGTTTATTTTTTTCTCTTTTGAAATTGGATTTTTCTACCTGCTTGTGTTATTTTTTATATTTTATGTTTTGATTATATGCATTACTTTTGTACATTTTGAGTCATGATTGTAATTGTATCCATCCCTTGGATAGTTTGCATTGTGCCTGTTAGGTGTAAATTTACTCATTCCCTCCTTCTACCTGCTTGATTGCCATTGTTTTTACTACCATGTATACATGTACATGTTGATCATTAAGTTCTATCTTAAAAATGACCTCATGTGGTGTTTGTTTTTCCATTCTTGCTGGGAGGATGGTCTCTAGTTTCATCCAGGTTATTGCAAAGGATATTAGTTCACCAAATTTTTTTTCTTATAGCTAATACCCTATGGCAGTGGTTCTCAACCTTCCTAATGCCATGGCCCTTTAATACAATTCCTGTGGGTCACAACCCACAGGTTGAGAACCACGCTGCTCTATGGTGTACATATACCACATTTTATTAATCTATACATGTATTTATGTGTATTTGGGTTTCATATTTTATTTCAAGAGATGGGGTCTCACTCTCCTGCCTAGGAGTGCAGTGGCTAGTCACAGAATTCTAGAACACTGCAGCCTCAAACTCTTGGCCTCAAGTGATTCTCCCAACCCAGCTTCCTAAGTAACTGGGACTACAAGTGCCACCATGCCCAGCTAATTTAAAAAAAAAAATTATTTTTAGAGATGGGATCTTGCTGTATTGCCCAACATGGTCTTGAACTCTTGGTCTCAAGTGATTTTCCTATCTCCACAGTGCTGGGATTGCAGGCTACGGTGCCTGGACAATTTCCTTCCTTTTTAAGGTTGGATAGTATTCCATTGTATGTGTTTATAACCTTTTGTTTTCCTTTCATCCATTGATGGATGTTTGGGTTGCTTCCACCTCTTTGTGGAAATTGTATCTCAACTGATTTTAGGAAAACCCCTTAATTTCTCTGAGTTCACTTTCATTATCTATAATATTATATACTCATAGTAAAGTTCCTTCTAGCTCTAATTTGAAAGCTTTAATTTGAAATAAGAGAGAGGTTAGTGGTCATTATGAAGTTTAAGGTAGGCAATACATTTCACTTATTTTACTCTTTTTATATGTAGATCATGGAAGGGAAGTGGTTACTGTGTGTGTTGCTGGCCCTTGGAACTACTGTCCTTCAGGCTCATGATGGACATGATGATAATGTGATTGATATTGAGGATGACCTAGATGACGTCATTGAAGAGGTAGAAGACTCGAAGCCGGATACCAGCGCTCCTCCTCCATCTCCAAAGGTTTGAAGTGTTTGAATCTATTCCTTTTACCTCTTGAGATAATAAAATTTTGAAGACTGGAATGCAGTGGAGGATACCTTTAGTCCCAGATACTTGATAGGCTGAGGTGGGAGGATCACTTGAGTTCAAGTCTATCCTGGGCAGCAGAGCAAAACCCCATCTCTAAAAAAGAAAAAAGTTATGAAGATAAATTTAGGTCCTTCTGGGTGGCGCCCCTAGTATAGTGGTTATAGTGCTGACCACATGCACCAAGGGTGGTAGGTTCGAACCTGGCCCAAGCCAGCTAAACATCAGTGATAACTGCAACCAAAAAATAGCTAGGTGTTGTGGTGGGCGCCTGTGGTCCCAGCTACCTGGGGGGCTAAGGCAAGAGAATTGCTTAAGCCCATAGAGTTTAAGGTTGCTATGAGCTGTGACGCCATTGCACTCTACCCAGGGCAACATAGTGAGACTCTGTCTCAAAAAAAAAAAAAAAAAAATTGAGATCCTTCTCAAAGAGAAAGTAGTTTGCTAAGATTATGTACTGTTCTCTCTGGGAGCCTTTGTTATATCTTGCCAAAAGCCAGTTATACAGATCAAATTTGAGGGCTAGCTATGAAAATATTGTGACAGTTGAAAGCAAACCAACAGAATAAATTAATAAAAGACATGCTGCTTTTTAAATTCATTTATGTATTTAACACAGGTTACCTATAAAGCTCCAGTTCCAACAGGGGAAGTATATTTTGCTGATTCCTTTGACAGAGGAACTCTGTCAGGGTAAGTGTTTCCTAGGGGAAAAAATTCTTAGGGTTACGTAAATAAGGTGGAACAATGGATACTTTTTGGATAGCATCTTGCAGTGATACGTCTAACTTTTATATGTGCAGTGTTCACATCCATTTTGAAACTTGTGGTTCTTCCATTCTTTTCCCTTTTCCACTCCACCCTATATTTTATTATTTGAGAAAAACTTTTTTCTCTTAAGTCATAAAAAAAGGGAATTATCTCATAGGTTGATACTATTTCCTCACAGGTTTCTGAATTGAATGTAGTGTTATCATCACTACTTGTATGGCATGTAAAAGTTGAAATTAGAGTAATTAAGTAGGCTAACTAAGAAGACCAAAATGAAGTACTACTTTTATGAGCATTTACATTACTTTACTTCACAGGTGAACTGTCATTTGGATTTTAATTTGGGGGTTTGTCTTAATTACATACAGGTGGATTTTATCCAAAGCCAAGAAAGATGACACTGATGAAGAAATTGCCAAATATGATGGTGAGAATTACATTTTGTTTAGATATGGTAGCAGGTAGATGTTTGACATGTTGTTTCCATGGTGTCTCTTAAGTTTAAAAGGAGATACAAATTTCAAGATTTTACTTTGAAAGTTTTGCCATTTTTGTGTGTTGCTTTTATATTTAATAGCATTAAACCTCTTAAGTTATCTACACTGTTGAACATTGGAAATAGGTCTTTTCTAAGTGGTATAATAAATATGCTGCAAGTAAAAAAAAAATCGTAAAATTTGTCAAATATATATAGTATGTGTTTTAGTATTAATAGGCCAACTCTCAAAGATAAATGGAATATGTTAAATATTTGTCAGTATGGCTCAGCGCTTGTAGCTCAGTGGCTAGGGCACCAGCCACATACACCGGAGCTGGCGGGTTTAAAACCAGCCCAGGCCTGCCAAACAACAATGACAACTAAAACCAAAAAAATAGCTGAGTGTTGTGGCGGGCACCTGTAGTCCCAGCTACTTGGGAGGCTGAGGCAAGAGAATCACTTAAGATTCTGAGAGAGTTTGAGGTTGCTGTGAGCTGTGACATCATAGCACTCTACCTAGGGCCATATAGTGAGACTCTGTCTCAAAAAATATGTAATTGTCAGTATGATAGACTTATACAATAGACTTACACAACTTGGGAGTTTAGTTTGTTTTGTTACCATTTAAAGGACCTTCAGAGGTGTGGAGCTTTTTTGTGTTGTATTGTAGGAAAGTGGGAAGTAGATGAGATGAAAGAATCAAAGCTTCCAGGTGATAAAGGACTTGTATTGATGTCTCGGGCCAAGCATCATGCCATCTCTGCTAAACTGAACAAGCCCTTCATGTTTGATACCAAGCCTCTCATTGTTCAGTAAGTGAAATGCTTGTTTAATAAAAGCTTTCTAGAAAGAGTAATCTCAGAAGACATCTGTTATAAAATTTTAACTATGTTTAAAAAATTATGAGGTTATATATTATAATAGGGATTTGGGGGTGAATTTAAGCATCTTAGAATTTTTTTTTCCTGCCCAATAAGTTATTTTGTAACACAGTGATTTGCAAAAAGTATTCACCTGGTTAAGTTTTAATTTAATTTTATTTATTTTTGTGGGATTAAGTAGCTATTCAAAAACAGTAGAAGGTGGACCTGTGATAAAACATGACCAAAATGGGGGAAAGGGAAAAAAAATTAAGAGATTTGATCTTTCAAAATGCCATATTATTTTCTGCTTTCCTCTCTGAAATTAGGTATGAGGTTAATTTCCAAAATGGAATAGAATGTGGTGGTGCCTATGTGAAACTTCTTTCTAAAACACCAGAACTCAACTTGGTAGGTAATTCCTATTTCTTGATGTAAGTGGCCACCTACAATTATAAGAAACCTAAAGAAAAAAATTTTGTAAGGCCTGTGAAAGTAAAAGCTTCCTCCCCTGCTATTTAAATCTTTTAGAAGGTTAGGAATATTGACTTTGACACTAATGTGCTTTTTATTTGAAATATGAATTTCAAAGCTATTGCCAACAATTTATGTCGTATCTCTGGTTTCTGTTCTGTGTAATTTTTGGTTTTAGCAAGCTTATTTCTTTGTTCTATAAAGGAAATTACCTAGATATATGTGTTACCTTTTTTTATTTTAAGCACTTAAATATGTTCTTATTCTAAATTTCCTGATAGATGGTTATTCCTTTTCAGTAAACAAACCTTCAACATAAATAGCTTTTCCACTTTATCAGTGACTAATTTATTTGGAATTTTATAAGAGAAAATACTGTATACATTTTTAAAAGGTGTTGCTCTTCAACTCTTTGACTAAAGATGCTTGAAATAATTTTTGTTTTTGAAGGATCAGTTCCACGACAAGACCCCTTACACAATTATGTTTGGTCCAGATAAATGTGGAGAGGATTATAAATTGCACTTCATCTTCCGCCACAAAAACCCTAAGACGGGTATTTATGAAGAAAAGCATGCTAAGAGGCCAGATGCAGATCTGAAGACCTATTTTACTGACAAGAAAACACATCTTTACACGTTAAGTAAGAAAAACCACTAGTTTGAGGGTTTTATGGCTTTACATGATATATAAATGATGATATACATATATCATCTATTTAAAGATTATTCATCCTGCTAGTTACCCAATCCTGTAAATAAGCCTTTCTTGATTTATTATCTTAGTGGGAAGACAAGTTTAATTTGTCAGCATTAAAAGAAACTTCTCTTTCACAGGTTGAACTGAGAAGTGAGGTTTGAGACAATTTCAAGAATAGGCTTTCATGGCTTGGTGCCTGTGGCTCAAATGGCTAAGGCGCCAGCCACATACATCTAAGGTGGCAGGTTTGAATCCAGCCCAGGCCTGCAAAACAACAATGATGGCTGCAACCAAAAAATAGCCAGTGCCTGTGGTCCCAGCTCTTTGGGAGGC